ATGCAATTTCAGTAGAATGTAACACTACAGGAGGGGAAAAAAACACCAATAAGCCTCTACTAAGCTTAAACAGTGCGATCCAGGGGAAAGGGAGTCAGATTGCGTGTTTAAAGGTAATCGTTTGACACTCGGGTTATACTGAAGGAGGAAAAAAAAAAGTAAGACAGAAACATTCCCATGCACTAAACACAAGACCTAGAGTTCAAAGTCAACATTGCAGCCATTCAGTTGAACCTCTTCACAAACCGGACTGGGACGACAAGTATGACCCTTCAATACATACGTATATACTTACTGAAGCATTAAATACCAATGAAAAAAGAAGGGTGCCAAAGGAATTTTTCAGTGTAATTTTCTTCCTGTGGCTTTTCTCCACCTGAAATTCTGCTTGGCAAAATACGAAAGCGTGCCAGCAAGCGAAATAACACATTGCCTTCGGGCTGAGGCTCAGAAGCTGCCTTTAGCAGTCAGTTTCAGAAGACCAGACAGAAGCAGCGGACTCAGGGGCTCTGAGCACCTACCGATCCCTTTTATGAGCTGGCAATTCGGGAGGGCTACAGGGTCAACTTCTCGTGTAGCATTGAGTCTGTTCCTGCAAGAGGAAAGAGCAGGTTAACAGGTTAACACGCAGCCACTGCCGAGCAGGTAATGCTCCTGGCTATCTCTGCTTTATTGCCTGCCATAACTCAGCCACGAATCAAACACTGAGCAAGCAAAACCCAGAACTGGCAATGGTGCCCCAAACAGCCGGAATGGTTACGTGCTTCCCGAGATGAAGCTTTCGTGATTTCACCCGCCCCAGTTAAAATGACAGCCACGCTCTCTTCAGGTTTCAGCCATTAAGTATAGCAGCATCCTGCAGCCAGGACCAGCACTGTGGGTGGGAAAGGGCAGCCTCCCACCCCAGCCCACAGCCATTCCCAGTGTGCCTGCACTTCTCCATTTATCATTCTGCATTAAAAAGCAGCAGCAGTGTTATTGCAAGGCACGACTGCTGACATCCTAACAACAAACAAAACTTGGCAGTACAGCTTTCAGGATTAATTTCCCTGTCCCTTCTCCTTTTCTTTCACTCACAGCACTCCCTGTCAGCCATTCTGATTTCGTAGTATCATGGCATCAGTTAGGTTGGAAAAGACCTCTAAGATCACCTACTCCAACCACCAGCCCACGCCACCATGCCCAGTGACCACGTCCCTCAGTGTCACATCTACATCATTCCTGAAGACCTCCAAGGACAGTGACACCTACCTCCCTGGGCACCTTATGCCAGTCCCTTCACCACTCTTTCCGAGATAAAGTTATTCCTAATACGCAGCCTGAACCTCTACTGGCACAATTTATGGCCTCTCCAGCACACCTACAGATCCCCAGGTCATGCTTTACAGGATGAGGCACTGACAGACAGGCAATTAAACAGATTTCTGTCTCTTCCTCTCCACCACTGCACTACACCTGCGTTAATACATGAAAGGCCCCTCACCACCAGGACTGCTGTCTTTCACCATGGTAGCATGCAGTGTCATAAGGATGCATGTTGAGTTCCTATGTAAAAATGTCAAACCGGTGTCCTAGATTTTATTTGCAAAAAAAAAAAAAAGCTTTTAAACTAACATTTACTCTTCCTTTGCATACAGTCTGTGCACACATGTTAATACTGTGCTCCACGTACAGGAAATTCCGAATGCAAAGATCTCATGGCAAAATCTATCCACATTTATATCATCGGTAGGTTGCTTTGAAAGTAATGCCTCCTATTTATTTTCATGGAAGCTACAACAGATTCAAAGAGCACAATAACACTATTTGATAGAACATGTTCTCAGCTACATAACACTGTCAACACAGTCACCACCGCTAGCTCTGCATTTTCATCAGCAGTGAACAAGAGCCTGCATACTCATAAACATCTGCACCAGCAGCAATGACCCACTGTACCACAGCCACTGTGGTGGTGTCACTGCTAGGAAAATGTTGCCCACATTCCATCTTTCTCTGGCCCAGACAGACAGAAGTCAGAAGGCACCAGAACCAGACCATATGGTGCATGTGGTAGGACAGTCCAGCCAAGACTGGCAATGTGCCCCATGGTCTTCAAACTGAAACGGCGCATGGTGTTACTGCATTACAGGAGAATGATTGTTTTTTCTCTGGCCAGACTCTAGAAATTGGAGCCTTTAGCTTAGTCAGCATCACAATGCAGCGGTCAGAGCTGAAGGTTTTCCAGGTTCCATGAAATCCAGAAGGATCGCCCCTTTCCTACCTCAAAAGAGAGTGCACATCATTTTAACCACCAAGGGCTGCAGCTTGAGTATTTTCTTTGATGGGAAATTCACATGTCGGCACTCCATGGCACACTTTTTGACTCCAGCTCATAGTGGCTCACATCTCATCACTGGTAATGATGTGATCCAGAAAACTGTCACTTTTAGCATTGTATTGGCTCAACAGATCCTGACAAACTTGTATGTTCTTTCTGTTCCTATGTGAGAATTCATGGGACCCACATGGCACAAACTTTGGGATATTCCGACACTTGCACCAGCATTTCCAAAGCACTGAAACTAATATTCAGCTCCATATACTGTTCCTTGGTTGTTGTCAACTGATTCATGTGGATGAGATGACCAAGACAGTCTTCATTTTGTGGTGTGACAGCTGTGCATGGCTGTCCGGAATGTGGCTTTATCTTCCATGTTGCTGTTACCACTGCTGAAAGGCACCACCAAACACCTCATTGCGCTCACATTCACTGCTGGGGCTCCATAAACGCTCACCAAGTGTCAGTGAGTATCAGTGGGTGCCATTCCTTCTGCATGGAAGAAGTCAGTGTCACACCTTTACTTCATACACACTCCCACGTCAGACGCCATTGTGTCAGACTGCCCCTGTGCTGCCATCCGTCACACGGCAAGAACATGTAATAGCGTATTGGTGGGAAGGTTCAACCTCAGCTGCCAGACCACCAACATCCACCTCTGATGTCATGAGCCAATATAATGAAATAGGAAGCATCGCTGTTAGAACTGCCCTCGTTAGTTCAGGCCAGGAGAAAGGACAAATAGGGCAGAGGAGTGCAAGGGAAAGGAGCCAAGAAAAGCTCTTGCAGCAGCTCTCCCAGCACCCAGGGGGGATCTCAGCCCCCAGCACAGCAAGACCCCAGCTCAGGGCAATCATGTCCTGTATTCATGCTGCTGCTTTCTTGGGATTTCTGCCTTCCCTGTTGCAGGAGCCCTTCCCCAGTGGCCTGCAAGCCTCGCAGTGCCAAAAGCACAGCGGGAGCACAGCCAGCAGCCGAGGGGAGATGATGATATCCCGACGGCATTCCCAGGGAAACACTTTGTGAACTGGAATGAGAGTAATTCGAAAGGACACTGGTCACAAGCCTGCAGCATACACAGAGGCTTTTTCGAAATGTGTCAGTTTATCTAGCTCACGCAGCTTTAGCTACCGAGCCAGATGGCCTAGATAGCTGACCAGCCTTCCGAAAACATGTCGGACCCACAGATCAGGGGACACAGCTTCAGGAAAACAGGAGTTTGCCTCTTGGTGCAGCCCGGCGCCTGGCACCTCTCCTTGCTCCAGCTCCAGCCCCCCGCCTCCCGACCCACTTTGAGGCACACAGCAGCAATCCCTCTCCTGAGCAGCGACCCGTCACATATTCAAAGCCCTCTCTTTCACTATTCCCTTTCTCTAGGCTAAGCAGCCCAAGAACTTTCCTTCCTACCTGACAGGACTGAAAATCCCCTCTAATTGTTGGGTTTGCTCCCAGTTCCCTCCAAACTGCCTTAGTCTTTCTGGCAGCGTGCTGCTGCTTCAGCACAGAGGCTGGGGGGTACACGGTACTGAGTGTCATGGCATGATAACACTGCGTGTGCATGCCAGTGAACAACAGATATCCTTTACATACATACTGTTTCTGTATACACGTAGGAACACGGTGTGCGTATATGAACAAGTTACATATATTCTTCTGAGGAGAACAGTAACCCAGCACAACCCAGCTCAACTCCTGTTCAACTTTTACAAATTTGATCAGAGCTTTCTCTGGGGAACAGTTAGCAGCTGCAGCGTGTCGGCAAGAGAATCTGTGTAACTTTAGACAGAAGCACACAATAACTTCTTTTTCTGCCACAGGAACTTTACTCAAGGCCTATTAGGGAGATAATAGCTGTATAAACAAACCTGATTTAAGAAGAATGAGGTCTGTAGGATCTGTAGCAATTCCTCAAGCCTGATCTTTGAAGCACTTCAGGGACTCCTGTACTATGGCACAATATACCAAACTCAACGAGCAGCAGAAGGCTGTGCTGGGTTCCTGCCTTCCAGCCAGGTGGTCCCAGGGATACCAGTAGCTCCCTGGTGGCCCTACAGATACTGCTGAGAGCTCAGCGTGCAGGAAACCCACCCGCAGGCGTCGGGGGATCCTGTTTTTAGTGGGAGACCTGCCTCTACCTGACTGCCAGCAGCTGCAGGTTGCAGACCTGTCAAGAGCTGGATGCACATCCTTCAGCATTTGGATCCTAATGATAATGATGCACCGGCGTGCAACGAAGTACTTCAGCACCCAGGTGAACTCGTTTCAGCGCTGGCGCTCAACTCAGAGGGCACAGCTAGCTTCCAACTCGGGGTGCACCTCACAAGCACGCGGCCTATCAGCCAGAGCTCGGCCTCAGCAGGACGCAGCGCAGCAGCTGCTCGCAGCCCCGATTCCCACGTCCCGTTCGGCCAACGGGCAGCCCGCACACCCCGAGCGGCGGACCCCTCGCGGGCACGCGGCACGAGGCGGCGCCCCGCGCCCCGGCTGCGCTCCCGCCGTTCCCGCCGCGCTCACCGGAACGCCAGCAGCCGCTCCACCGCCAGCGCCGCCGCTATCCCGACCAGAGCCGCCGCCAGCACCTTCCCCATGGCCGCTCCCGGCTCCGCGCTGCCCGCCGCCTCCCGCCCCGCCCTGGGCCGCGCCGCACGGGGGCGGGGAGCGCGCAGCTCCCGCGGGGACGACGCGGCCAGCTGCGGGGGCAGCCCTCAGTCGGGTCCACGTGGCAGTACGCCAGCGCCGAGCTCGAAGTTTCCCTCACGTCGAGGGACGTGTTTTCTAACGTACAGGTAGGACAGCAAGAGCTGCAGACCAAGTGTGGCTGTGCTGGGTCGGACCCCGGGCTGTTCAGCGGCAACGCGTGTACACAGAGGGTTAAGGAAGAGTAAGAAAATGAGGGGCAAGTTGAGTACTTCCCCTCAGTCATTGTCAGCTCAATTTGAACAGCCTTAACTGTTCAGTAACAATAGGTGTCTTTCAAGTAGTCCCCTTTTGAAGCAAGTGGTGGTTTTAATTTATCATGCTCTTTGCTGATAGAACACCACCTAGACACCCTATATGGGTGGGAAAACAGCTACTTTTAGGCAATAATTCGTCTGAAATGCACCTAAAACAGATAACCAGTCTTCTCTAAAGATTGGCTTTTACCCTGCATTCATTAGACAAGGAGACTTCAGGGACCAACTCAAGCTCAGAAATCCCCAACAGCACCCTGTGGGCTGGCAGAGCAGCTGCAGCACTGCCAGACACCCTGCTGCTCTTGCTCTGTCGCCATTTCCTCCAAGCTCATTGCCTTCAGGGCAGGCAGGAGAGGCCTGGGAGTAATCTCCCATGTGATGTAGTGGCTGAAATCAGGAATGACCTGTGTGCATGTAACCAGGTGCTGGGTTTATGTCAAGGGAAAAATACTAGTGGAGAGAGAGAGCAGAGCAGGGTGGTGGGATGAGTTTTACACTGACTGAGCAGTTTGGAGAGACAAACGAAACAAGGAAAGAAGAGTAAGCATGTAAGCATGTCCAGGGGGATTCATTCCATCTGGAGCCACAATGGTGAGTCAGGTGAGCAGTATCCTGGGATGGCGGTCTTTCTCTGCTCATGATAGATGGATGTCAGCCAGCCTGATGAGAAGACGAAAGGAAGCGCTTATATGGCTAAGGGTAAAGGGAGTAGTTTCTACTGAAACTTTGGGAGTCCTAAGTATGTCATATGGGGAAGGTATGCCCTTTATGCCAGCTATCACATATCAGCTTATATTTTAATAGATAAGATATAGAAGCAGTGCCCAAACAAATTTGGATTTCACAACAGACTATTTCCAAATGTATCATGTTTGAATCATTAATGAAACACAATCTGTTGCTGAACTGACTTTTAAAAAGCTGAAACTCTAACCCAGATTTTGGTCTCTCACATGCCAATGTTAACCTGAAGTAAGTTCACTGATATCAGCGTTGCCAAAGTAGTTAGAATGGATTTACACTTGAGAATAAAGTTCAGAATGATTCTAGAGCACTCAAGTGGAGGCTGATCTGGCCGAGTCACTTCCTACACTGTGCTCAGTTTTGGGGCCCCTCACTACAAGAAAGTCATGAAGGCCCTGCAGTGTGCCCAGAGCAACAGAGCTGTGAGGGGTCTGGAGCACAAGCCTTAGGGAGAGCGACTGAGGGAGCTGGGATTGTTCAGTCTGGACAAGAGGAGGCTCAGGGCAGACCTTATCACTCTCTGTACCTGCCTGAAAGGAGGTTGTGGCGAGATGAGGGTTGATCTCTTCTCCCACATAACTAGTGATAGGATGAGAGGGAATGGCCTCAAGTAGAGTCAAGGGAGGTTTACTTTGGATTTTAGGAAAAATTTATTCTCCAAAGGAGTGATGAGGCACTGGGAATAGGCTGCCCAGGGAGACGGTGGAGTCGCCATTCCTGGAGGTGTTCAAGGAACGTTAGGATGTTGTACTGAGGGACATGGTTTAGTGGGGAGATACTGGTGGTAGGTGGAAGGTTGGACTGGATGATCTTGGAAGTCTTCTCTAACTTTGGTGATTTTATGATTCTAACTAGACACACCACAAATAACTAGTAATTTGGAAGGCTGTTCAGGATGATGTCTTAGTTATGTTGAAAATGCTTGCAAAATTTTTAGGAATACATCATTTTTGTGCTCAAGATAGGGAAGGCACTGAGGGCAAACCTAATCTTCAGGCAGAAACAAGTCAGACAGTGGTCACCCTTCAAGAGTTGCTTCACCAATACTAAACCAAATTCAAAGGAGGCCCAGTGGGTACGAAGACAAGGCAGGGCAGCCAGAAACCAACTTTGGTGCTGCTACAGCTTAACTGTAGAAACAATGAGATGTCAGCACAGAGTGGAAAGTCTCAAAGAGAGACTGCTGAGATTTTAAACGAAACTCATCAGTATTGCTGAATTCAGATCTGTGGACTGGGTTAATGAGAACACATCCATCAGATTGCTGCTGACATGCAGGTGCTGCACCAGCTTCAGGTAAAAATAAAACTTGGCAAGCAAGCAAAAAGGTTGCCACAAAACCGGGCAGAAAGCACTAGCAAAGCCTTTGGCTTGAGTACTGAGAGATAAAGGTGAGGGAAAGAGTTTCAAAAGTTGCCTCACACAAAAATTACAAAAATCTTTGCAAAGGCTGTGGCTTAATACAGTTTTAACCCTGTTAGTTGACTGAAGGGAAATTGCAGATTGCTTACTCAAATTTCTTAAGCTCTGCATTCTTCAGTTCTGCCAGAGCTAAAAAAAGGTCCAGCCCTCTGCTCGGCTGCCCATTGAGGAGCAGGGAGCAGAGATTTTACGGCTGTTTTGAGCAGCTGCCATAGAGCAAGGCAAAGTCTCCGCTCGCACCTCACCACTGTATGTAAATACAGTGTCACCAAACAGTTAGAAAACTGGAATTTATGATAATAACCTAATGAACAGATGGTGCCCCAAGGGTTCAAGTGTACAGATTCTTAGTGCCTTTTGCAAAGAAGGTAAAAACATTCCTGTAAGTGAGACCAAGGTGTATCAATTTTCTAAACTGTTGAGAAAAATCCATGTCAAAATGACATCAGTGGGTTTGCTGGTTGTTGAAAAGGCTTTTGTAGGAACAGTCTGGTTTTCAGCCTTGTCCTAGTTTGAGAAGAGCAGAGTCAAGGTCTGTACCTGGCATTTGTGGAGCTCACCACAGACTCCAGCGCTGTCAGCCACGAGCAGCCCAGAGGCAGCTGCATAAATTTGGATGTCCAAACAAGTTTGGGAATATATTTTGCTTATTTCATGATAGTGTGGGGTAATGCAAAGGTTCTCAGTGATGACAAGACGTCAAAACCTGTGACTGTCAAAAACAGCCCTAAGCAAGGCTATGTCCTAGCACAGCTCTTGTTTACTGTCTTTTATGCAGCAGTGCTTCTTGCTGCATCTGGAAGCAGCAGCAAAGGGAGCTGCTTTACTGATTTTATGGGTGGCAGAATTGCTAAACTGGAGAGATGCCAGGCTAAATAAAAAGTCAGAGAGGTCCTCCCAGGCAATCTGCCCTTTGCTGCTGACAGAACACTGGGTGGGCAGAATATTACTGATGGCTTTGATCGTGCTGCCATGGTTCAGCCATATTGCAAGCATAAAGCAAATAGTGCTGTCTTTTTCCAGGCAGAAGTGTGCTGAGCTAGTAGCATGCCTTGCAATACAGAGCTGATGTCTTGCAGGTGAATCCTGCTGTCTTGGCTGCAAACTGCCTCGAGCATCAGAACTGATGACAGTCATGCAAAGGAGGGAGAGGGTCATGCAGCTTTTGAAAGATTAAAGCAGTGTTGGAAATGCAGGAGGCTCTTGGCTTCAAATACAAGTAAAGGTGAGCTGAGTTCCTGTCATCATCACTACTCTGCACATCAAGGGTCTCAGGCAACACAAAACTATTGCAGTGAAGGTATCATACCATTCTGTGTGCACTACTTTCAGGCTCTTGAAGATAAGTCAGGATAAATTCCTGAACACTGAGATTCGAAGCACTGCCATATATTAACCACTGCTGAAGTCTCTTGCATGCTTACTACGCTGGTGTGAGCACTGGTGCAAGCATCAGACAAAGCGTGGCGTAAAGCTGAGTTCTGTGATAGGAGAAGAGGTATGGATAATCCAACACAACCTCACCAGACACCTGATGTCGATTTTCAGTTGAGTTAGTTTCAGGAGGCAGGAAGCTCACTGCTGTCTGCTGTAGTACTGCATGTACAGATGATGAACTGATGCCATCACAGCCCCTCACTGAAGTGGAACAACCCAGTGACACAGAAAAGGAACAAGAGGGAAATGCCTAATTAAGCATTATTCCTCTGCTACCACTGCTTACTTACGCACTGCAAACAACAGGAACGTTTCTCAGGAAAGAAAACGCAAATGTTGAATTTTCAGGATATAATATCTCGGTAAAAAGAATGAGATTTAGAAATTCAACAGCTTTTAAAAAAATACCACAACAGAAAGAAAAAAAAGGAAATAGCCTTGACTCATGGATACTGTGACAATCAAGACTGTACACACTGTGCTGATATTTTGAGCTAAGATGAATGCTCTTTGGTCAAGAGTTTTAATATGCACAGGTCATTTACAAAATGTTCTTAAACTCTGTTGGCACCATGAAGCATAAATAAATGGAAATGTAGGCGAAACAGTGCTGCTCATTTCTTCATGAACTATGATTGCTACACCTGGTTCCTCCCTTTCTGGACTGTCCCATGTGTTTACCGAAGCCTACTTTCAGATTTACATCAGTGTTAATCCAGTGTAACACCACAAAGATTGATTTAACCTTGTCTCACAGTTCCAAGCCCTGGGTGTTCTTGTATTACTGGAGTTGCTTCAGATGCATGAGTGTAGATGTCTAAGCTATACTGCCAGTAAGTCTGGAAGAGGCAGACAATTGTTGTGATACCTATAAATACAAGACAGTATGCCTATTTATTGATATTCTCTTACTTTTTAGCTCTAAGAATACTTTCATTCAGATATAGTGGCATATGGGTACATACAGATACGTACTGTTGTAATGACATAATATACATATAAAGATATCATTCATGTGGATTCATGAGCTCTTTTACTCTTCTATAAGCATAAACTGTGAAGAGATAATGTGAAAAGGAATCTAGGATCCTATCCAAAACTTGCTGCAATCTCTGAGTTGCTACATCATAGCCTCTTGTCTGCAAATCTGTGCCAAGGAGCAAAGAACGCGGCCTTGGTAGATCCAGGGTGTTTGCATAGTCCAAAAACACCCATTATGCACTGTGCTT